TCAGTCCTTATTCAATCAAAGCATTTCCAGTAGTCTAGGGAACGAGGTTAGAGCAAAAAACAATATATTCAGTGATCCCATGGGGGAATCAGTCCTCTCACTGACTAGAAAAGGAAGGGGGAAGTAAAACCAAAAGAGTTTAATGTTTTAAATTTCCTTGCTGACAGAAGACCAGGGACTGGAGGAACACTTTTGCCAGGGCCTGGCAGAACATGGTAAATTTCTAAATATCTGTCAAAATTACTGACAAGTACTAAAACACATTCTTTTCATTGCTTTTGATCTCTCATCTGCTGATGAAGGCTACAGAAGTTTTCCAAGTATGATCCCTGTGCTTAAAACATGTATACATGTTCAGTACATACTTGTTCAATTAATGAGTAAATGAATGAGAATGGGCTGCCGCAAATACTGAAAGATGAAAAATCATATACCAGTGTCAAATATACCAAATATATAAAGTAACTCTGCATTAAAAATTTCAGAGGAAGCAACACAGACTGACAAGGCAAATGTTTATCTGTGAGTACTGCAGGTGTAAGGTGGTTGCACATAGACACACTTCAGAAAGCATCAGGTATTACCAACAGTCTCTTTCCTTGAAAATGTGCTCCACATGCTTAAGAGCTCAAGTGCTAAGTTAGTTAAATATTAGGGAAAAATAAATCCCAGCCACTCTGCCAACTTTATTCAAAACCAATCCTGAAACATGTGCCTAAGAGAAAAGCCCAAGAACTGCTACCTTTCTTTTTCTAATAAAAGAAGGGGAAAACCACCTGCCTAGACCAGATACTGTTAAAATTCAAAAGAAATGTCAAATTCTTGTATCAGAGTTACTGTGGGCAAGCCAGGTAGAACAAGAGAACATGGGCTTAAAGTAATACACTATGCTACCAGGAGTCTGACTATGTGAAACTGGAAGATCAAAAAATGGACTGGGATCAGAAATTTTCCCCTAGGTCTTTAAAGACAGGGAATGAACATAATGACACTTTATGGTACCTTTCTGATATATAAAAGTAGATTTACCCAACATACATATAGTTCTCCTTGAACATATTTCAATTACAGACACAGTAATGATGATGATTAAAAAACAGCTAACATTTCTATACGGTTTACTCCATGTCAGGAAGAATTCCTAAATCCACTACATATATTAACTCACATAATGTTCCAAACAAATTTATAACGTAATAAAATGAACTTATTACCCTCATTTTACAGATGAGGAAAATGAGGCATAGAGGATAATTTGCCCAAAGGCCACACAAAACTGGGAAGCAGTAAGATGAAAATCTCAATTCATGGGGCCAGAGGTGTAGCTCTGTGGTAGAGCACTTGTCCAAAAGCACAAGGCTCTGGGTTTGATCCCTGGAGAGAGAGAGAGAGAGAGAGAGAGAGAGAGAGAGAGAGACAGAGACAGAGAGACAGAGACAGAGACACACACACACAAAAAAAAAAAAACACCAAAAAAAAAAAAAAAAAAAAAACCAGAACTATTAAAAACAAAACAAAATCAAACCAAACTATCTCAAAAAAGGCTATCTCACACTAGAGTTTTTTCCATGGATGAACTTGGATGGAAGCGATGTTTAGAAGCCTGCAGATGCAAAAAGATTCAATTCCTGCCGCTAGCCAACAGCTGCTAAAGTAATTCTTAAAAGACTATATGGCCCACCTGTGCCTGTTAACTTCAGGGGTGGAGCCCAAGAATACAAATCCCTCAGTGGATTCTCACATACAGTAATTTAGAGAACCACTGTTGCAATACCAAAAAAGATTATAAAACACAACCACAAATAATGAGGCTTTTTATTGCAGGTGTAGTTGACTGAATTGGTTTCTTTTTCTTTCTTTCTTTTTTTTTCTGTAGTTGTAGATGGATAGCATGCCTTTGTATTTTTTATGTGGTGCTAAGGATTGAACCCAGTGCCTCACATATGCTAAGAAGCACTCTACCACTGAACTACATCCCTAAATTTATTCTCATGAAGGGATATGTGGAAGTCAAGTTCTTGATTTTTAGATTTAATTCTGTGGACCAACCAGGAATAATTTTATAATAGTAAATCACAATTATATTAATTTAAAATTTAAAACACCATAATCATGTTTTCTCAATGTATCCACTCCACATTTAAAACAATGATCATTTCTAGGCTTTTTAATGATTGTTAATTTGCTATGTTACTTTGTCCTCTGCTGGTATTCAAGATCTATGGCAAGCAGAAATCAAAGACCTAAAATTTTTAAATTTTTAACTCCTCTCACTTATGTAGGCTACCACCCCTATGACAAGGTTTCTTTAAAACTTAGCCCAGGAACCAGTGCTTTAAGGTGGAATTTACTGCCCACCAGCCCCTAGGCACAGATCTCTGTTGCAGGGTTTCTTAATTTCGGTCTATGAACTTGAACTGGAAATTACATCCTTATGTTCACTAACCTCTAGTTCACATTAAGTATTTCTTTAGTTATAAATGGAGGCTGCTACCTAGCAGTATGAGTATCTATGACTTTATTGTCAACAGAATCACTGTTTTTTTTCCCTATCATATTACAGGTGTTAAACATCTTGAAATACTATTTATCCTTAACACTATTTCAAAATTATGGTAATTACACCAGATGGTATAATTTAATGAGCTGATCTTAAGGTACGTATTGCTATATTGCCACTGTTTTAAAAGTATTTTTGATATTTGTAATTTGATTTAATTGGTTTCTTTTTGGAATCCTACATAACTTATGCATTTGAAAACAATTATAAGAAGTGTTCTATTGGCATCAGCTTTCAAGTGTTCCCTTCACAGCATGCACGTATATACGTGCACACACAGAAAGAACCCTTATAGGTGGAGGCACAAAATAGTTCTAAGACTCTGCATTGTCTACATCATGGGAGTGAATTAAGATATTGTTAACTAAGTTGTGCATGGTGATATGCATCTGTACTCACAGCAACTGGGGAGACTGAGGGAGGAGGGTCACAAGTTTAAGATCTGCCTGGGCAACTTAGTAAGACAATGTCTCAAAACAAAATAAAAAGGGCTGGGAGTATGGCTCAGTGGTAGAGGGCTTCTGGGTTCAATCCCCATTACCAAAAAAAAAAAAAAACGAAAGAGAGACAGAAAGAAAGAGAGATTGTTAACCGCTTATTCTGTTAATGCTGGGATTGCTGGTTTGCATGCTACCCATGTGCCTGGCACACAGTTGCTAAATCAAAGGACAAACTTTGGGACAGAGTTCCTGCAAATGAAGTTTGACATCAGTTACTCCACTGATTCCATCAGCAGTTGAGCTGACTCAGTTTCTCCTCTCTTAGAAATGGCACCACTACTGCTGACCCAATGACTCTGAAAGAACTTAGAACAAAAACACATCAATTTGTGTGAAAAGATTCCAGCCTTTTGAAAGACAAATTATACTGTATTTTTTTATACCTTTATATTTATTTATTTATTTTTATGTGGTGCTGAGGATAGAATCCAGGTTCTCACACATGGAAAGCAAGTGCTCTATCTCTGAGCTACAATCCTAGTATCCTTAAGCAACAGTTCTAGTCTTAATTTTATTAACACAGTGTCCACATCAGAACCTTGAATTCCATTCCAGTTCTGCTATTCACTGTGTGAGAAAGGGGCATCAGAGAAAAGGAAATAAAACTGTTTTGCTTGAACAAGGGTGGATCAATGCATTCTCCCTGGGAATTGTTAACTTTTTGTGTACATGTACTGTCTAGGCACTGAGAGTTCATCCCTTTCCTCCTTTTCTCGAAGGACACTCCAAAGAAGTTAGGACATACTCCAGAGAAACAGATGTGTTCCTGACAAACTAATCAACTTAAAATGTTCAAATGTATCTTACAGGAGTTTCACGTGTAAAACAGAACCCTGCTCCCACAGCAAACATAACAATGGATCTCACATATAATAATACTGGTCCATACAACATCTTAGAGCTAATCAATGGTCCCAACAGGACATAACCCTAGATAACCTGGCTTTTCCCACTGTACCTAACTTATTACTGTCTACAGTTTTGACTCTTAAATCTGATGTTCAGAGCAATAAACAGGAATACAGGCTTTCAATACAACCAGCCAAAGTTTTCAATTGTTCTGATCACTATCAATAACAATCTTTACTCTAATAAAACAAAAGGAAGATATTAAGAGGTAAAGGAAAAAAAATTCTTCCCAAACTCTCAAAAATACATTTACACTGAACAACCAGCTTAAAAGCTTCCCCCTCCTACCAGTGTGCTTCATGAAGGAGTCTCAAATCCATGGATGTACAGCAAGACTTACTACTTAAAGGTTGCATAAAAGAAATCAGCATAAAAGAAGCTAAGATAGGCCAAATGTCATCTTTCTCTATTCAGAAACAATGGCAGGCTCATGATACAGGCCAAGATTTCCAAAAAGAGATCGCTTGGGAGAGGATGGATATCAGAAAGCAACAGGCAATAAGACAATCCTGGCAGAAAGCCTGGGGATCCAGTAGTAGTATTTGGGGGTGGGAGTACGGGGCAGAGAAGCCGGTTTAATAAACAGTCTTACAGAAATCTAGTGTAACCAGCAGTGCACGACCACTATTGGAAACGCCTGCATTTTCCTTCACAGCCATCACTACCACTTCCCTCCCCCACCCCGAACTGAAGCAATGCGGCAGAAGTGTGTGGGGGGGGGGGGGATTAGAGGAACAAATGGCGTAGCTCTGGGGTACAAACTAGGGTTTGAGACCTGTTACCTACACGAAATACCTGTCTGCCTTGGACAAGTCACAACACCGTGCCTCCGTCTCCCCACTACACAGAAATGTTGCCATAATCAAAGGTGACCCGTTCGCAATGCCAAGCACAGGGGCAGACACTGAGCAACCGCTCCGCGACGCTAAAGCCTGTCCACAGGAGGGTTCTAGGGTCGAGGCTCCAGCCCCGAAAGAGCGCTCTCGGGCCCGCTTCCCGTCACCTGGGATCTGAGCCCCGGCCCGGCCCACCTTGTTGTTGTACTCCTCCACGAAGCTGCCCAGCGCCAGGCGAAAGCGCTTGTCTGGCCGCACGCTCCAGTTCATTGCGTAGACGGTCCAGGGCGCTTCATACTTGTAGATCTCCTTCCGTTTGCCGTGAAGGGACATCGTGGCCGCGGGGCCGCAGAGCGGGAGGGGGCTGCGGCGGGCTGCGGCTGGTGGGGTACGAGTCGGGCGGGGAGCCGGGCCTGGGACGCAGGAATCGGAAGGGAGGCGGGGCGGGCAGGAACGGCCTAGCCCGGAAGAGGGGCAGCGGCTACAAACAACGACGGCCCGGCCCGACCCCCAGTTTCAAACCTGCTTGGGCACCGACAACCACCACCTTCCGTTTGGGATGCCGCCCCGCCCTCTCGGAACGGAAGCCACGCGACCCCCGCAGCAACACTGGCCGTTGGCTGCCTGACACGTCCTTTGGAAGCTATTCCTTCTTTTCATTGGTTACTGCAGCCGTAGTGTTCGAAATCTCCTCACTATTGGCGTAAATGTTTGTCATTCCGGCTACTCGATCGGCCCAATTCCTGGAGGCAGGCGCTTTCGCTGCCGCAAAGGTCATTGGCTGACCAAGCCATCAGTCAAACAGGTGACGGCGCAGTGCGGGCGAATGGGGGTGTGTGTGGCCTGCAGGCGAGCTTGGAAAGCTGAGGGCCTTCAAGTTCTAGGCCAAGTCTCTGAGAGTGAAAACTCTTGTGTGACCTGCCCTTTCTTCCCCTCTGCTGCTGCTATTCTAAGTGGCCTCTTAAGACTGTCGAGTAAAATAAAAATTCTGTCTTAAGGGAGGACCTACAGCTTTTTCGTCACACTGAGCCCCGAAGCCCGGCAGCCTGGCATGGGCCAAATGGAAACCACCTTCGCTCCTCACTTGTCCTAAGGACGTTTAACACGGAAAGCTATTATCCCGGGACCCCAAAAATAGGCCCAGACACGCAGATGTGTAGAGCTAGGCCAGTTTGAAACGGGCCTTCTCGCGCTGTCCTGCAGAATCCAGAAATGCTCTCAGGTTCTAAGGCTGGTTTTCAGTGGGCAGTGACGGGTCCAGCTTGGCTCTAAGTTTTTGTCAGTTCCTGTCCTGTCCCTTCCCCTACGTGGGTCCCACGGCAAATGCTAATCCAGCTCTAAATGTCTCTGTGCTATGATTTTGAAATGGAAAAGTCTGAAGCTGGGTAACATCGTTATAAATTTAAATGGTTTTCAATATAATGGAAGGTTTGTACTGAATGGTTAAGACGATTTCATCAGGTATACTTCTAAATGATAAGTGTCATTTTAACGGACTATTCAGAAAGAGTCAAAAGAAGAGGGACAATGCTGTATATAACGATCCTCTTTAAGTTTTCTCTTTTTAAAAAACAGTGAGCGCGGGGGTGGGGGGGGGAGTTGTGGCTCAGCGGTAGAGCGCTCGCCTAGCACATGCGAGGCCCTAGGTTCGATCCTCAGCACCACA